GATATGAAAGTAAAGGGGCTGAATACATGCTACACTTTTCAGAGTTTTATTTGTAAAAAATTTTGAACGCCACATATCATTTACTTTCCACTTCACAATTATGCGATACTTTGTGTTGGACTATCACATAAAATCCCAATAACATACATTTATGTTTGTGGTCGTAATGTGGAAAATTCAAGGGGTATGAATACTTTTGCAAGGCACTGTATATTTTTCTGAAAACTGCAGATGCTGCAGAGATCTTAATCATGCAAGTAAACCTTAGAACCACAATTTCTGTGTCCCAAGAGAAGAAATGTTGGGCAGAAATTGATGAGAGAGAGGAAGAGGTGTCAAATTGTTGATGTTTTAAATTTTAATTCTTATTTAGTTTGTTTTATGATTGGAATTTATATCACTAAATCAAATATGAATAATAATTATTTGGGACCACTTAAACTTGAATTTTTGCTGCTTCTGGGGCAGCACAGCTCTCTTTGGTGGAGCTCTTTGTCACCACACTCTGCTCCTGTCGTCTGCTCTCATCCTCTGTCCAGGCGAGACACAGCACATCTCAAACCCGTGGAGAGCGTTGAAAAGAGTTCTGGCAGCTTGTGAGAAGTGCTGGTACACCAAAGAGTAAAATGCAGAAGCACTGGTACTGTGGACTTGCATGTTCTGGCCCACTTCAGGACTGAGATTAATGGAAACACACAATCTCCAGTACAGAGAGCACTGCAATAAAAACCACTCTTGGTTTAATAATAAAAACTTACAGCAGGTTAACAAAACAGAAACGTATATCCCAGTGGTTTTTGTTCAGAAATAGCAACATGTCAACATGCTGTGGGGTTAGTTTGTTTACTGAGACCCAAGGAGGAGAATACCCCGTCCAAAGGTAGCGATGTCGCACGAAAGGAATGCAAAGAGAGCACCTCACTAGTGGTTAGCCTAGGGAAGCCTGTCTGATTAGCTTTCCACCACATGCCACCATGAGTTGATATGTAGACCCTATAACTTATTTTTCAGCAAACAATTTAATTTTTTTAACTGTTGAACTGATAGTATTAATTGGTTGGCATTTATATTGTCGGTTAATGATTAAATGGTTAAGGGTGTGCATCCCTACTAGCTAGCTACTTAGCTCATCGACATGCCTCACTGTACTGGTGATACACCCAAATAAGCTTTAACGAAGAGTTTTAAAAAAAAAAAGATTTATGTTTGGAAAATACATCTTGTTCTGTCACTCTTAAATTAAATTCTAGGGAATGGCTCATGGAAGAGAGGAGATAAATATGACAATGAAGCACGGCAAGCCTATGCTTCTCTGAACACGGTGACACTGCTCAGGACAGTCAAGCCCGAGTTTGAAAACTTCTCCATGGAAATGAAAAAGTCCATTGAAAAAGCTGAACTTCATGACTGCAAAGACTGCGAAAGTGTACGTATATTTATCTCACAATAAAACTAATTATTTTCTCAGCCTTGATAAAATCCAGTGGAATCTCTCAGAAATATAGACTGATGATATCTAATGAATTTAAAGATATTGATGAGTCAGGCAGTATTTGTCAATTTTTATTACCATCTGCATTAGCAAAACAAAAAATTGGGAGTTACTGTATGTGTGTATATACAGTAACAAAGCTCTGGAAGGTATGGGGGGAGAGAGAGGCGATACAAAGTTAGTGAAATGTAATGATGGCAATATGCATGTATAGTGAGGGAAGGATAGAAACTCAGTGCATCATGCCGTCTCTGGTAATCAGACCAGGTTTTCCTCAAAATGTTTTCCAGTTGTCTGTGAAGCCCACGTTGTTTTCGGGGCACCACCTAGACAGCCAGCGGTTGAATGATGACATGTGGCTAAACATGTCATCACTGGTCAGATTGGGCAGGGGTCCAGAGAAAACTATTTATTTTAAAAAATAAAAATGAATGCTCAATGAAAATGACCAGCATTTTTACACTATTGGAATATATATTTATTGCATACATTCTCACAAGTGGACTGGGATTCAGTAACAGTTTATTAAATCTGCTTATGAAATCTGGCGCCTTTTGAATTCCTGTCAAATCTTTTCAATTTCAGCTTTCGAGCGTTGTTGCTACATTTCCAAATAAACTCAACCAATGATCACCTTTTCTAATCTGAGAAGGCAGAAACAGTTTTGAGTATCAGGCTAGTTAAAGCTGCATTAACTAACTTCTCCCTCAAATTTTTGACTGTTAAGGGCGAAGTGAGAGTCAAAAACTCCAGGAGTATCCTCTCCTCTTCTCCCTCCACTCCTCCTTGCCCCTCCTGCCCTGTCTGTGGTACTAGGTCATACATGGTCATGACAGCCAGAAACAGTTGCGGCAGAGGTTTATATTTTAGTGATATGCATATGTATGTCTAATGTTGTTTGTAGCTGTAACACAAACTAATTATATAGAGGAATATTTTTTCCCCAGTAACATTGATACAGTACTCCTGTTCAGAGTTACATACTTGACACACGTAACTGTGAGTTGTATGTGAAACAAGAAATTTCATGTTCTACTTTGATAGTTGAACAAATTCCCCACTTTTCTAGTTGGGTTGATGGTGTATATTTTAACAAGTTCTCACTAAAATGCTACATGGACTGCAGTGTTATGTCCAACATAAACTGTATCAAAACCGAGCAAAGATTTGCAAAATTATTTGCTAATCCACGGCCAGTGGATGTATCGCCCTCTTTATCTCCACCAACAGCTGCTTTCAGAGCCAATCAAACCGCCATAAAATGATAGGACATATAAATGTTTGAAGAATCTTAACAGCGAAAGCAGCCACAGTGAAGTTGGACTGACTTGCTGCATAATAGGATTAACTGGGACATGTGCAGGGTATTTGATATTAATCTTAACTCATGAGTTGCTTTCAAGTGTTATGTGCAGTTTTTTTTTTTTTTTTCATGGATATGGATTCCTAAACACTGTCTGCAGCTCTTCTCCAGCTGCATCCTGTACGGACAGATGGTTGTGTCCTGACACGTGCCAACACTGATCATATTCATTTTTATAGGACTACTTAGCATATTGAAAAATAATCTTTCTAAATTATCACACATATTTCATGATATACAATAAATTATTCAGAGTGAATTCCAACATATCACTTGTAGATGTAATGGTTAATTTTATGTTGGTGTGGCAGAACAGTTGCTTCTTCTTCATGACTGTATAATCCATTTCAGGTCAACATGTTTGTTGAGGGATTCCATGATGCCATTTTGCTGTATGCCATCACCTTGCATGAAGCCATGAAAAATGGATACAGTAAGAAGAATGGAATGGAGATCACCTTACAAATGTGGAACAGAACATTTGAAGGTAAGACACTGCTCTAACTGAATCAGTAATGACTTCAGGCTCCTATGATCAATCTTACTAGTGTGGTATTGTAGAAATCTATTGTAAAAAAACACTAAAGCAAAAACAAACAAAAAAATACAAGTAGAACTCATCTCATTTTCTATACCGCTTAGTCCCAAATGGGGTCGCTGGAGCCAATCCCAGCCGGCATTGGGCAGGGTACACCCTGGACAGGTTGCTGGTCCATTGCAGGGCCAACACGCAGACGAACAAACACACGGGCAATTTAGAGCCACCAATCAACCTAAGCCACATGTCTTTGGACAGTGGGAGGAAGCCAGAGTACCTGGAGAGAACCCACACAAGCACAGAGAGAACATGCAAACTCCACACAGAAAGATCGTGAACCCGGAACCTCCTTGCTGTGAGGCAACGGCGCTACCCACTGCGCCACCCACAAGTGGAACTATTTTGGATATTCTAAAATATAAGGCTTTGAAAATTCAAAAGAGGCTGTGGCATGTTGGCTGTTTTCAGTTTTCCTTTACAAACATCGGGAGCAAGTAAAGTTGCAAATACAGTTTGTGCCAAATGATTACCCAGTTGCACCAGTTAGGCTGCTGATGTCACAGAGCTAATATGTTTGTAAGATAAAGTATCACAACCAAAAAGAACCATTCTACTGCCAGTCAGAGTTAACATCATGATGATATGGCAAGTGAGATTGCAGCTCTCAGAAGTGTCTCTATATTTTTGTCCTCCCAGCTTCATACATGAGAGGGTCAGAATTAGAAACACCTCTGATTATAATGTAGTTCAGTACAACACCACCTTTAATTATGACCTCAATAATAAATATATAATTGAGTTTATACATTTTTGAAAATTTCGCCAAAAGCTGAAACATTCTGAGCTTCATATACACAGCTGTTAAGGCGGAACTGTTGCATTGAGGTGCATACAATTGTACAGGGGTACTAAATAAAGTGTCCAGTCAGTGTACTTCACCAGCACAGGCCACATCTTGGCCTGGAAAAGCACTTTACATGAAGAGAACAGTATCTCAAGGACCATTCCGGTCACTGAGAACTATACTACTGGGCTAATCTTTCAGCTAATCTTTTTTTCTGCAAATTTGCCATTTACTTTCCTAAACAATCCACCCAATGACGCCCCAGCCGGCTGACAATGACTGGAACATTCTATTTGCATACTGGAGGAAATAGCAGATCTTAAGGCATACATTGGCCACTATTACAACCTCTGCAAGGTGGATTCCCACACCAGCACCACAATTCAACAAGATGCCCCAAAACCATTCGAATGAAAGAGATTTTGCTCCACAGACACCAATGATACTGGACATTCAAACCAGAAACATATGCAACAACCTGATTTTTTCGGGCATTACAGAACAATCACCCGACAACCCCAGGGCACTGATTAAACACTTCAGGAAAAACCAACTCAAAATCCCATCAGACACAAGATCACCTTCCACTGCGGACACAGTCTTGGATCACATTCAAAACACCCCGACCCATAATAGCCAAACTGGAGGACTACAAACACAAAGAGTAAAATTATCAAAAGTAAAAGAAAGGAACTGAAAGACAAACCTTGCACTTAATGATCAATTCCCATGCGAAATAAACGAATGGAAAATTCTCTATGCCATTATGAAACAGACAGACACAGACAGAATAACAAACATGTAAACAGCATTGTGGACAAATTATACATTAAAGGACAGCTATATCATGATCTTCGGAGTTTCTACAGAATATCTACCAACTGGTGACTGCTACATTATGTTTTAATAATTCAACCCCCTTTTCATCACCCTGGTCCCTTACATCCACAGACCCAGAGCAACCCCTATCCCACAAGGAGTACTACAACCATCTTTTACATTGGCATCCCTCTTGTTATTCTGTTTGTGTTTTTCTTTGTTTATTACACCATGCTTGTCCATATGTATACTTGCCTATGTTTTTCTGTGCTGCTATGCCCACATCCACACACTAGCACACATAAATATAGACACACATGCACTAACTCTATATCGTTTCCCTCGTTTATGTTTTGTCCCTCCTTTCAGCACACAAAATAGACATCTATAACAAATAATCATTCAGTCACTTAAAATAGTATCATGGAATGTGTGTAGTTTCCAGACCCAGGTTAAGAGGACTACAATCATTAACCATTTGATAAAATTAAACACTGATATATGCTTTTTACTAGAAACCCAGCTAACAAACCCAGAATTACAAAACCTTAAATATAAACTATTTAACCAAATATTTTCATCAACACACAAGAGTAGGCAAAGAGGTGTTTCAATTTTAATTAATAAAAATACCCGATTAATTCACAATACATCTATCACTGACCCGGAAGGCAGATTTATAATAACTAATGTATCCATTAACCAGACAACATACACACTTAGGAACATATATGGCCCCAATAATGATGATCCATCCTTTTTCCATAATTTTCTCATTACTATGTGACTCAACAAATACCGTATTATCAACTTTAACACTGTTATTATCCCAGAAATTGACCATTCAAGCACCTCTAGCTATACAAGAAACTGGCATGTGACTGAAATAATAAAACAATATGCTGTATGTAGCATTGTGGACTTGGTGACAGCTGAAGAATGAATAACCCCGCTAGAGAATATATTGCGTTTTCCTCCCTTCATCAGCCTTTTTCTCAAATCAACCTCTTTCTTATCAGTAATTCCCTTACCCAGCATATAACAGAATCTACAATACACTCTATCATAATTAGTGACAATTCTCCCATTTCCCTCACATTATATACTGAATACTGAAGCCCATACTAAATCCTCTAGAAGATGGCGCTTCAGTACATCATTACTCCAGGACTCAGATTTGATTAGCTTTATTAATAAAGAGAAACCGTCTCTACTATAGGAAACAGGCAAAGTGTTATGTGCCGTTCGCACCTGTCAGTGAGCGAACGAGAAAGAGGTGGACCCAGGTAGCCGACTTCGATGCAAGCAGTGATTTAGGTGGAGACAGAGAGATGAAGGCAATAGTAGAACAGATAGGCGACTGAGCATTGACCTGCCTGGGAGGAGAGAGTGGAGCCACGGTCCGGAGGAACAGTCCATGGGGGGAACACAAAACAGTAGCTGGCTAGGGAATAAATACATACAAAACTACGAAAGAGCAAGGAGAAAAAAATGGCCTAGAGACTAGAACGAACTGGCAAGTGACTGAGGAGTGAAACCGGGTAATATAGTGAGCAACCTAATCAAGTGCAGCTGGTGATAAGGGAGTGAGGAACAGGTGAACGTGATTAGTGTTAATGGGCAAGAGACAGTAGGAAAGGTGAGGGAGGCCAGAGCGGCCGAGCAAACCTGACACAAAGCAGTAATCAGAGGAAGAATAATATCATACTCATTGTACAGGAAAAAACAAGTAGAACTGGAAAGCACCATAGAATGGAAGATAAAACAACTCACAGATTTACAAACACAGAACAAACACAAAATGAACTGAGCCAACTGAAAATGCAACTTGAAAATATTATATACAAAAAACACAGTTTCTCATTCAACAACTCAAATGCAAATACTTTCAGTATAGTAACAAAATAGGTAAGTATTTGGCAAATCAATTGCAATGTAAAAAGAAAAAGCATTAATACTTAATACTTAATTCTACATGTGAAATTGTTCACAATCCACAAGATATCATTAATGTACAATACAGCCATCATGACACTCTTATTAAAACCAAACAAAGACCAAGTCCACCCTTCTAGTTACCCTCCCCTATCACTGATTAGTGCAGTTTTAAAAATCATTACGAAAGCCCTAGCCACCAGAACAGAGACAATCACTCCAGTATTAACCCAGGCCAAACAGGCTTCATCAAAAACAGGAATGCTTTAGAAAACATCCATAGATTATTTAATCTGATTAATCTTGCACAACAAAAACAAATCAAAACCATAATTGTATGACTATGTGCAGAAAAGACATTCAATAAAGTTAACTGGACATTTCTCTTTAGCACACTATGCAGGCTTGGGTTTGAAGAGTTGTTCATCCATTGGATATGAATACTATACACATCACCCAGGGCCACAATAAGCACAAATGAGGTAACCTCACAAAGTTTAACTTTACAGCGGGGTACCAGACGAGGATGCCCACTCTCACCATCTCTGTTTATCATTTTCATCGAACCTCTAGTAGCAGCAATATGACAGAAAAATGTAATTAAAGAAATACAAGATACTAACTCAGAACATAAAATTTGATTTATGCAGATGATTTATTATTATAGTTACAGGAGCCTTACCATTCACTACAGGAAACGTTTCACACTATTAATGCATTCTATAAAATCTTAAAATCTACAAAAAACTGGAACAAATCCATGATATTGGCACTCTCTGAAGATGCCTGGGATTCTGCAGCTCAAGACTTCCCTCTTCAAGTTCACATAGGAAACATTAAATATTTAGATATCAGTATTTCCCCCAGGCTGTCAGAGCTTTTTAACCTCAACTACACCCCTGTGCTAAAAAATGTAGAAGATGACTTTAAACTCTGCTCCAGTTTTCCACTCTCGCTCATCAGCCGAATTGCTACTGACAAAATGAAAACTCTATCTCAAATTAACTACCTGTTTACAGCGCTTCCCACAACACCCACAGATAAATGGTTCAAATCACTTGATTCTTTAACCTCTCAATTTTACTGGAAAATCAGGAAATCCAAAATTTCCCTATCTACACTTCAAAAGAAGAAATCACAAGGTGGCCTAGAAGCACCAAATTTATATTATCAGTATTACTACTTGGCAAATCAGCTACAGTATTTAGTCAAATGGATTCAAGAGGACAGCTACAACAGTTCATGGGTAGAATTAGAGCAAAGTTATAGCATAAAGGTATGCACCATCTCTTCCTACCAATCTCTATCAAGAAAACGAACTGTTGTAAGAATATCACAATCATCTCAACTC